TCGGCTCATCCTCAATGCGACCGCGCCGTATTAAGGATGAGCCCAAAGGGGCGAGGCCCTTGAGGCGGAGTCGACGATCGTTGATGGCCCTCGCCTCTGTCGGGTGGAGCTCGCATGCAGTTATCAGAGCGCCTGAAGTCGCCTCATATTTCGTCTGATTTTGTGCGTTTCAGGCGAGGGTCTCTTAATACATGCCGTGAACTTCATCCTTTCAGATCTCCATTAATGAAAAAAAAAACATTCATCTTAGCTAAAGACTAGAGAGTGGTTGACAGCGGAAGCACACACGAGAAGGCTAATTCTCAGCCATTACTACATAATGGAGGGATTTATAGTGACGTGACTTTAGTTGTCATGAGCTTGTGAAAAGCATTTCCCTATATGGCTCGATGCAGGACAAGATCGAAATGGTCTTTAAGGTCTTTTATAGGATTATTATGCAGTAATGAAGGCAAGCAGGTGGAAGGCGGTCGGATTTGTAGCAACAGTTTTGATGTTTCGCGGGACATTATCTTATCTACGCCATCGAATGAACTGGTAAAGGTTTGTCAAACTATAATTTTCATGGCATTAATCAGTTCTAATGGCTTTCGGTTTTCTATCACAAAATTTTTTTTTATGTCAGTTTTTTTTATTATTATTAAATAGCTATTTGAAGTTAGAACTTTTTATAAGCTAAAAAGGAAAAGAAACACATGGGTATGTGCCGTCGAGGGCTCAGGACAGTTACTGTTGTCGAACTGGTTTCATTCTGTTCTGAAGCACTGAAAAACGTATTTTTGTTGTATTTCTTCCTATTATGAGAAAAAAAAATAAGCAAAAGTTAAAACGATAGAATAAGTGAATTCTTCAAATTTTATTTTCGATCAGCTAATGCCCCCAAAAAGATTAAACGAGATATTTGCATATCGTTCACAGATTTCTCCCATTCGCCATTTTTTATTTATTTCCAAAGAAAAAAAAATACGTACAACGATACTATTGCTACCTTTTAAACCTACAAAGATGCAAACCATATGGAAGTTGCTATAAATGTTTCTAAATGAACATTACCTGGTTTTCAGAGCTGTTCTCATAATGCTGATCTGATGAATAAACATTTCCCTATGTATTGTACATGCAGTACATGTGCCTGCTTGATTCTTTAATTGTATTTGTATATATATATATATATATATATATATATATATATATATATATATATATATATATATATATATATACCGTATACCTATAAACCAACACAAAGAAAAGGACAAGAGGACAGAATTAGACGAACAAAACAAACACATAAAACGCCGCCTTGCCTCGTGCACACGCGCGCCTGAGTCCTGGCGGAGGCCTCCTTGACCCAAGACGTCGCGAATGCTCTCTTGCAGGTCTCGCGAAGTCCCTGACGGCAGGCTATCTAGCGCTGTCAGCAGTCTTATCAGCAGCTCGAGGGTTTTGTTCAATTTTTCTTGGCTCTGCAAAACAACGAAGGTAGATTTAGCGACTGGAGATGAATTCGCAGCTATTATTTAAAGAAAAATTGAAAGGAAAATGGTCTGCAGCACAAGGTAGTGAAGGAGGAAGGGGAAGAGGAGGAACGGAGGAGGAGGAGGAGGAGGATGTGGAGGAGGAAAAAGTGGGAGAGGAGGAGCTGGAAAATCAGAAAACGAAGAAAACAAAAAGAAGGAGGAGGCGAGAGAACAAAATACAAATATACGTAAAAAGAAAACAGGGAAAAGTATATTCCTTTTACCTATGTCCTGCGTAAACTTTCTTTTTGACAATAATTAATATAAATCATTATTGTCTCACCTCAACAAGGGCATTGATGGTCTCTGAAGTCCGCTCTTGTTCCTTCCGAAGGGCGCACATGTCCTGTTAAGTGAAGTACATTCTGTTATATAAACTCAATCGCACAATTACTGACATGTATATTCATGTATATGTATGTGTGTGTGTGTGTGTGTGATATGTATTACATGCCCTCTCTTTCTCTCTCCTCATCTCTCTCGTTCTCTTTCCCCCTCTCCATTCCCCTTTCTCTCTCTCTCTCTCTCTCTTCTCTTTAACTCTCCCTCTTTTCTACTATCTCTCTCATTCTCATTCTCTTTCTCATTCACTCATTCACTCACTCAATGACTCCCTCCCCTTCCTCCCTCCTTTCTTCCCAGCTTCTCCCTCTCTCTTTCTTTCATCCTTCTCTTCTCACCCTAGCTCGTTATTCCTTCCCTTCTTCCCTTTATTCCTCCTACCCTTCCATTTAACCCCTTCCTCCCTCCCTCCCTCCCTCCCTCGCTCTATCTCTTCTCTCCTTGCTCTCCCTTCCGCCTTTCCTTCCTCCGTCCCATCTCTCCTTCTTCCCTCCCTCCTTTACTCTCTACTACCCTTTCTCCCTCCCTCCTTTACTCCTTCCGTCCATCCATTCTCGTTCCCCTTCCCTTCCTTCCTCTATTTCTTTCCTTCCTCTCCTCTCCCTTCCCTCCCCCTATCTTTCCTTACCCTTTCTTCCTCGCTTTACCTCCCTCCCTTCATTCTTTTGCCTCTTCCTTTCCTTTCCCTCGCCTTTTTCCCTTCCTCTCTCCCTCCCCCCTACCCTTCCCTTCCCTTCCCTCCCCTCCATCCACCCTTCCCTCTCTCCATCCATCCATTTCTTTCCCTTTCCGTCCTTCCTCCATTTCTCTTCCTTCTCATACCTTTCCCTTCTTCCTCCATTTCTCTCCCTTCTCATACCTTTCCCTTCTTCCTCCTTCCCTCCCTTCCCCTCCTCCTCCAATCCCCTTTCCCCTCCTTCCCTCTATCCAATCATCCATCCCTCTCTTTCCCTTCCCTTCTGCCCTCCCTCTCCCTTTCCATCTCTTTTCCTTTTTCTCCACTCTTCCCTCCCTGCATCTCCTCCCCGTCCTTTCCTCCCTCTTCTTCTCCCTATTCGTGCTTTCTCTCCTCCTTACTTACTCCATTTTCCCTCCCTCTCTCCCCTTCCCTTCCCTTCCCTCCTTCTCCTTCATCCATTTTTCTCTTTCCACTAACCTGTGCAAGTTTCTCGTGTTCCTCTTCCATCTCCTTTCCGCCTTTCTCCTTGAAGGCTCTGATGATATTGGGCGTTCTTGAATCACAGTTATGAGAACTTCTTTCACAGCATTCACGATCACGCAAGGTATTATGCGGACATCTAAAATAAAAATGAAATAAAGATATAAGGTAATAAGGTAAATAAGTCAATAAACGATTATATTCAACGTATTATAATTTTTTCTATTTACTTTTCTTTTTAAATTTACTATTACTTTGTAGAGCGAAAGAAGCGTTTCAGAATTAGAGACATGGAGGAAATAGGAAATAGATAATGATTACACACACACACATACACACACACACACACACACACACACACACACACACACACACACACACACACACACACACACACACACACACACACACACACACACACACACACACACACACACACACACACACACACACACACACATATATATATATATATATATATATATATAGAGAGAGAGAGAGAGAGAGAGAGAGAGAGAGAGAGAGAGAGAGAGAGAGAGAGAGAGAGAGAGAGAGAGAGAGAGAGAGAGAGCGAGAGACTCGCTGCGATGTCTAATTAGCGTTCGAAACTTTCCTTCCAACAAGTTGTACAAGAGTTTCGACCGTTCGGAACCCTACTTTGTCGTCCTGGACCTCTTGTTCCTCTCGTCACAACAGCGTTTCTATATAAACATTAAAAGTTGCGGGTAACCAGAAATTAATGGTAATCGTTGTTATCAAAAGTTATTTTAGTGTTTTAGTGTTGGAGAGAGGCTCTGGGATCACAGTGACTATAAACCTATGCAGTGTAGAAAATAAAGACTGGTACGATAATGCATTGTGGGTAATGACGGCCCCGGAGAGTTCCGGCCGCGGCCTCTTCGTCCTGCTCGTTCTGACAGGTTGTCCGGACGAGCAAGGCAAGGTGTTCTGAACGCAGCAGTGTAGCGGTGTAATATATGAAGTGGGAGGCGATGTCCCACTCCCTCCACTATTATTACTTGTAGTTTGGTAGAGCGTGGTCGAGCGGTAAGGCAGTAGTAACTAAGGTGCTGACGTACTGGAGTACTCTGAAGATGTTGGTGCAGTTAAACTTGTCGCAGTTTTCTTGTCTTTATTCTGGGTAACTGGTACAGAGGCAAGGCAGGTGCCCAGGGAGGAGCGCGTCCTGCCAAGCCACGAGGGCGACCGGTCTAAGAGTATGGCACAGGAATTGCCATGGACGAAGTTCGTTTTTAAACAATATACAATGGAAAAACATGAAAGAATATGGATGAACATAAATTCAGAAACATTGGTTCACATGACCGTTTCGTGGAGAGGAACAAGGGTATATGGTTGACATGATATCGGTATGTTTTAACAACCTTACATCTGGTGGTTAGGGGACAGAATTACTGAGTGTTCATGAAACATGAAACACTTGAATATCAATAGTAAAATCAGTTACATACATAGTGATTTAGATCAAGCATTTTATAAGAAACATTTTCAGTATAAACAGGACATATTTATACTTGAAGACAACAGAATAAAAACATTGAAAATGTATGATAGTAATAAGGGTCAGATTAGCGTGTTCTACGGTTACTTTGTCAATGTCGGGCACAGGGCAGGTTGAAGTACTTGTGATATAAGAACACATGGCTTTCGTGGTCTTCGAGGGGTGAGCAGCGAGG